TAGGGTCACTGCTATCATTTAGGGATGAGGGCAGTGCCGTGTACTGGAGAAACCCTCGACATTGGCCTGAGCCCCAGCTCTGCCACTTCTGGTCCATGTAATCTTAGGTGAGCTCTTGAGCCACAGTCTCAGCTTCCTCATCTATAACAGGGGAAGCATGCTAGTTCCTTCCTCAGAGGATTAAGCGGGATCACTTATATCTAGAATGCTAATCAACACTTAGACACTCCACACACAGCTGCTATTATTCTAAGTGTTGTCATGCTGTGAGAGAGAATTTATGGGACTTATAGACCTCGTACCCCATTTTGGGGTTCTGTACCTAGCCAATTTCCTCTTCTGCCTTTTCACCTTCTCATATTTCTGCCTTGTTGGAGGTGAAAGGACAGGATACATGCCAATTTCAACCTCTCTGCCTAGTCCGATGAGCAGCTGCTTAGAACCTCAGTCTACACTGGCAAGTAAACAGATCTTTGGGTGAAAGGCAGAAATATGGCCCCCCAGTATAAAATACTGTGCTTTGCAGAGGTGCTCAGCCTGGGGGCCTCAGTGAGCAACCTCCGCTTCCCACACCATATGCTCCCACCAATAGGGGACAAACTGCTTTCTTCTTGTGGCTTCTGTGTGACCATGGCTGGCTGAGGGTAGGGACAGCTCCCCGAGTGCCAGGCACTGAACTGAGTGCACCACTCCTTGCAATGGCTCAGCGAAGACTCGCTACTGCCTTATGAGGTAGATGGTTACCTTCCATCCCTGTTTCATGGTTTGGAAGCAGGCTGAGGGAGAGCTTGGCTCCCTCAAGGACACACAGCTGAGAAGTGGTGAAGCCAGGATCTGACCCTCAGATGATGGGTGCCAGAGCCCACTCCACATTCTGCCTGATGTTTTCTAATGTCCTTATTGTGGCTTTTAGAAGTTTTGCTGGATTTCATGAAACCCATTTACAGAGGTAATGTCAGTTTCTTTTTTCACGTGAAAAAAAACCAGAGAGACGGAGCTGTTCGCCCAAGGTGACCCAGCCAGGATTCAGTTACGTGTTTCTAGTTCTGTAGCTCATGCTCCTCCCTGATACCACCACTGCTCCCCTTTCCAGCCCTCAAGGCCTACACCTGCACCCTGGGCTGGCTTCATGAGCAGGGGCTTGTATAGCCGCCAAGGCCCCACCCTCAGAAGGACTCTTGTTTGGTTTAATGTTCTGTTACCATCTCAGAATTCTTTACACTTTTTTTTCCTGACCAGTAAACCTGCATTTTTATTTTGCATTGAGCCTTGTACATTGTAAACAATTCTGTCTCTATCTGATGAGGTCACACCTGGCTGGACAGCTATTTACTTCACATAATCACAACCTCAAATCCAAGTCTCCTTGGATAGCTGCAACCCGTTAAATTTTTTTAAAAAAAATCTATCTATCTATCTATCTATCTATCTATCTATCTATCTATCTATCTGTCTGTCTATCTATCTATTTTGAGACAGTCTTGCTCTGTCGCCCAGGTTGGAGTGCAGTGGCGCAATCTTGGATCACCACAACCCCCACCTCCTGGGTTCAAATGATTCTTGTGCCTCAGCCTTCTGAGGAGCTGAGATTACAGGTGTGCACCACCTTACCTGGCGACTTTTTATATTTTTAGTAGAGACAGGATTTTGTCTTATTGGCCAGGCTGGTCTCAAACTCCTGGCCTCAGGTGGTCCGCCTGCCTCAGCCTCTCACAGTGCTGGGATTACAGGTGTGAGCCACCATGCTTGGCCTTTATTTATTTATTTTGAGACCAGGTTATAAAACTGGCTAATTTTTGTATTTTTAGTAGAGATGGGGTCTCACCATGTTTCCCAGGCTGGTCTTGAACTCCTGGGCTCAAGCTATCCTCCCGCCTTAACCTCCCAGGGTGTTGGGATTACAGGCATGAACCACTGTGCCCGACCCCATCTCTTTTCTTGCCTGCTCTGCCTTAACCACTTGTGTTTTTGGATCTCCCCGTTTCTGACTTTAGACCCCCTCTCTGCTCTCAGTGCCAGTGCTGCCCGAGTCCTCGCAGTTCTCCGCATCTCGCCGCCTACGGCTCCGCGGCTTGCTCGGCCCCGCCACCTGTGATTCTCTGCAGATACCTGCCTGGCTGCCCCATTCCAGAGTCCTTTCGTATCCGTCCCCTGCACTCCTGCTGGCGGTGGCCTGACCCCTCCTGCCCTGTGACAATTGTCTGCAGCCTCCACCTGGGGTTCGCCTCTTAGCGGGTCCAGAGCTGTGTAAACAACAGGTCTAGATGTGTCCCTATTTGGGCAACTCTGCAAGGGAAAAATAAGAAATTATTAGAATGCTGAGAATGCAGAGCATCCAGAGATTCCGGAGGCAGAAACTTCCTCCTGTAGCAAAGTGAGTAGCTGAGCAGAGTCATAAAGAAGTGGCTTCACTCCAGGAGGGCCGGCAGCCGAGAAGGGAGGGGAGTTGTGTGTGAATGCCAGACTGAAAAAAAAACCCTCATTTCTTATTTTATCATGAGGTGGTTTTCTTTGACTTGCTTAGAATTGTGTGTACTTTCCTTTGTGTAACAACTTCACTTTAACATAAAATTTCTTATTGCCTTCTGCTAAGATATAATTATATTGAGAGTAGGTTTGCAAGACTTAGCAAATAAAAATACAGGATTCCCAGTTTGAATTTCAGATAGGCAATGAATATCTTGTTTTGCATAAGTAGGCCCCAAATATTGCCTGTGAATCCTGCGTTTTATCTTACCATGAGGGCTAACAATGTGCCGTGCATGTGCTCAGCGGGGGTGCAGTAGCCCTAAGTAACAGGCACTGTGTGCGGGTCTCTGCCCTGTGCCAGGTGCCTTGTGTCTATTCTTATTCAATCCCTCTTTTTTTCTATTCGCCTTTTACAAATGAGAAACTAGAGGCTCTGAGATGCTGAGCAACTCATCCAAGGCCATAGCCAGGAAGTGGTAGGACTAGGATTTTAACCTTTGTCTGACCCTCAAAGCCCATGTACTTCTATTTTTTCTTCCTTCCTTCCTCTTTCTCTTTCCCTCTTTCCCTCTCTCCCTCCTTCCTTCCTTTCTTCCTTCCTTCTTTCTTCCTTCTTTCCTTCCTTCCTTCCTTCCTTCCTTCCTTCCTTCCTTCCTTCCTTCTTTTCTTTTTCTTTCTTTCTCTCTCTCCCTCCCTCACTCTCTTCCTTCTGTCCTTCCTTCCCTCCTTCCTTCCTTCCCTCCTTTCTTCCCTCCACTTCTCTCTTTCCTTCCCTCCCTCCCTCCCTCCTCTCTCTCTTTCTTTCTCTTTTCTTCTTTCTCTTTCTTTCTTTCTTTCTTTCTTTCTTTCTTTCTTTCTTTCTTTCTTTCTTTCTTTCTTTCTTTCTTTTCTTTCCCTTTCTTTCTTTCTCTCTCTCTCTCTCTTTCTTTCTTTCTTTCCTTCTTTCTTCCTCTCTCTCTCTCTTTCTTTTTTGAGACAGGGTCTTGCTCTGTCACCCAGCTGCACTGCACTGCAGTGGTGCCGTCATAGCTCACTGCAGCCTCAAACTCCTGGACTCAGGCAATCCTTCAGCCTCAGCTTCCAGGAGTTGCTGGGACCACACGCATGTACCATCATCCGTACTCTTTCCTGAATCTCTTCTCCACCACTCCCTCCAAATCAAATTGTCTCTTCACCTTTTAGAAAAGTTCAGGACTCTTTTCCCTCACTGTCCCCTCCCTTCACACACTCCTAGAGGAGCAGAGATCCCTGTATGTCAGTCTAGAGGAAACAGATCCCACGAACAGCTATTTTTTCCAGTTTGTAATTTATTGTACAAATTGAATTATCATATGACAAGTTGACATGAGCTTCTCCAGGCATGAGAACTTAATGGATGAGGCACAGACAGTTTAGAATCCATTATGTTCCTCTCACAGCTGGAATGTTTTTAGATCTTGACTTGAAGTGAAAGATCATCAAAGCAATGCCTCCATGTGTGGTCAGTACACAACTCATTCTACTTGTGAGCGTCTAAGAGTTGAAATGTATTTTAATGCCTGGAATTGGGCATCCGTTTCTGGACCTGCCATGATTTCAATCTAGCCAAAGCCACACATTCTGCAGCCACTGTCCTTCAATGTACACAACCTGGACAGCTATTTTTAAAGGTAGAAATACAAGCTAAAATTCATGTGGACAATCCAAGGTAGAGGTGGGAAAGTTTCACCTTCAACCAAATCCTATTAATCGAGAGCAGGCTGCAATCCGATTCCCAGAAGGTAACTGCTAATTCCGGAAATCAAAAAACAAAATAGCTAACCATAGCACAAAGGCAGAGCCCTAGGGAGGTTACAAAATCAAATGAAGTGAACAGGAGTATACAAATGGTAAACCCCTGAAGACTGAGATAATGGCCCTAGGAGCAAGTATATTAGGCCAAAGGAAGAGCCCCTGGAGGCGGAATGGAAATGAGCGTGCCACAAAGTCGCCTGCAAATACAGCTCCCTGCGGCCCCAGAGAACACCAGGCAGCCAGGACGCATCTGCCTGCGTCTACTCAGGAGCCCTGTGCCCCCAGGTGCTGGCTGCAGAACAGTGGCCGACGGGCAGAAAGCTTGATGCTGGGGTCTGGGCACCTTGGAGATGCTTATGACGCCGGCTGCTGAGGATGCACCTAGCACAATTCCGATCTTCACCATCGTGAGTGCTAAGGACAGAGTGTTTCCGGTACTTGCGTTTCATCTTGTGTTAGGGCTCTAGCTCACTTTTTGTTGACAATTAATTAACTAATTAATTAACTAATTTCGAGATGGAGTCTTGCTCTATTGCCCAGGCTGGAGTGCAGTAGCATGACGTCAGCTCCTTGCAGCCTCCACCTCCCTGGTTCAAGCAATTCTCCTGCATCAGTACCCCTCCCCTCTGGCCCCCGCCAAGCAGCTGGGATTACAGGTGTGCACCACCACACCCAGCTTATTTTTGTATTTTTAGTAGAGATGGGGTCTCACCATGTTGGCCAGGCTGACCTTAGGTCGTCTGCCTACCTCAGCTTCCCAAAGTGCTGGGGTTACAGGAATGAGCCATCCACCATGCCCAGCCTTGTTTACATTTTGAATTAAGTGACCGGGTGGAGGCATTCCATCCTGCAGCACTCTCAGCCTCAGGACGAGGAGGAATGGGAAGAGAGGGAGCTGGGAGGAGAAAGTGAACAGGATCGGAGATTCTGTGTTTCTCAACACAACATCTTCCCTCAGCTTTGCAAAGGGAAGAGCTGGATTTGAATCCTGGCCCATCCAACTTCTGGCCAGGAGTTGTTGAGAAGATTACCCACAACCTCACAGAAACTTGGTTTCCTCAGCTAAAAATTAATATAATAAAATCTCCTTACCTTAAGCTTTGCAAAGGCTCAAGGAAGTATAAATTGCTTCTCAGTAGTTACTAGGCAGTTATCATTATGTAAAGTACAGCTCCCACTTTGAGCAGAGGGCATAGACCAGTAGATGCTATTCTGAATAACCCACTCCAGCAAGGCTCCAACGGAAGGAAGTAATTATACAGTATTAGATTTGAATGTAAGTCCTCTCTGGCCCTAGGGTCCTTTTCTACCAGAAATGTGCATCTTCTAAAACAGTGCCATATGTTGGAGGAGAATGGGAACAAATAAGTGTAGTTGCCAGTGCATTTGGATCATTCGAGGAGTGTTTTCAATTTTTTAGTAGAAAAAATGCTAATAAGCTTAGAAAATGTCCCCATTCTTCTAGGCCTCAAAGCATACTGAAGTCATCATTTGTTACATATTTACTAAGCATCTACTCTGCGTCAGACATTGTGCTAGGGAAGATAGACATGGCCCCTTCCCTCAACGATACCTCGATGTTGATTTATACTTTAAACAAAGAGTTACACAAATAAGTATACAATCCAAATGGTGATCAGTGCTATGAAGGAGGAAGTCAGGATGTATGAGGGCCTGAAATATAGAAAACTATGTGAGCTTTACCTTTCTGAGATAACTCTCCCTACTCCTCCATGCAGGAAAAGGATTTCTTGTGAAAAGCAATGGTAGAAAAGCAATCCAAGGAAGCAAAATGAAAGCCAGCGTGAGTTAGAAAGGAGCGGCAGGTATATGATGTTCTGGATTGGACTCTCCTTCATTCCTCGTCAATGAAGTGGCTCAGGAGCCAGTGTTTATTTTGCTGACTAATTGGCTTTTGAGCCACGAAGTAGTGTCCTCCTCAGACTTATGACTCTTTCCCAAGTGAAGACTTGGGTGGCTTAAGCATCATGGATATTAGCAGGCGGGAATGAAGAGGGTCCACTTGAAGTATAAGAGTCAGCACCAAGGCCCGTGGATCTCATGGAAGATGGCGGCACAATCTGTGTCTGGCGTTATCAGAAGCGTCTTCACGTGCACAGTCTCAGGGGCACCAGGTAGAGAATTTTGGTCTCGATTCGGAAAAGAGAAAGAGCCCGTGGTTGCTGAGACAGTAGAAGAGGTGAAAAAGGAGCCTATCCCAGCGTGTCTACCCTTACAAAGCCGAGCATAGCATACGCACCACCTGAAGATCTGCAGAACCGTTTGAAATCTTATGTTGAAGTTTTTGGTTCATCTCCTCCTAGACGTTGACATCTCCCTGGAAGATGGTCATCTAAAGTTCAATCTCTTGGAATATTTAGCTGATGGTTGGGTCATATAGTCCCTAACTCCAGACTCTACCAGATGCGCAGGATTAGAGATGTTCTTGATTTCCATAATATCCCTATTCAAGATAGATCTAAATTTAATGAACTCAGTGCCAGTAATCTGCCCCCTAGTTTGAAAATCACTTGGAGTTACTAAGCAATTTGGAAGAGAAACACATTGCAATCATTTTTTTTTTTCTCTGAGCAAGGGGGCTGCTTATTAGACCTTTTCATACTTTACCGTGTGAAATACTACCAGAACTGTTCTCTAAACCCACTTTTTCTGTAGAGGAATGTATCATCTCTTTTCTTTTCTCTCTCTCATATTATAAATGGACAAATAACAGGACTTTCTATTTTCATATTTGCTGAAACCATTTTTTAAATGAAATTAGGTCATTAATAATTTATGAAAAATTCTGAGAGGACACTGCCATTAACTTGGGTTTAAGACAGGAGGACACTGCAAGTTTACACCCTTCGTAGGCATAAAGTAGCAGTTGCAAGAAAATATATGTTCATCCTGTTGGGACTCATATCTAAGCTAGAGTTTTTATTATGCATTGCACATATACAAATAAACTTGTATTAGATAGATACCTAAAAAAGAAACGTAAATTTATGTTGTGTATTACTGACCGTTCTAGATTAATTTCTTTTGGAATTAAAGTAGGTCTGTTAAAGTGAAAAACAACAACAAACAAACAAAACAAGAATCAGGACCAAGAAGCCCCTGGACACAACCAAACCTAGGAAAACTGGGCCTGGGTTTGCCACCTTGCCCAACCTCCAAGTTACATGGAGCAGAAAAGTGGCGCAGAGAAAGCATGGCCCACTGCAATTGCAGAGCTATCTGTATTTGGCCAAAGACAGCTCTGAATTGTTTCTAAGATCCTGAACATGGAGCCCCTCTTGGAGCTGTCCTTTCTTCCTCTGCCTTATTCAGAAAGTTGAGAGGGGACACCTTAAAGCTGATCCCCAGTATGACTCTGCTCCAGCAGCTTCAGCAAGGGGATGGGGCCTGATTTCACAGGGCGGCTCAACTCGGAGACTCAGTTTGCAGTGCATGCTGGCCCCAAGCCTTTTCACTATGTGCTTAATTTTTGGTAACATTGGTTTGCTTTTCAACTGATAGTATTGGTCAAATTGTTGTGGCTACTTGAGGAATGCATCTTACCATTGCCTCAGAGCTCTCCCCTGTAACAAAAGAAACCAACACCCAAGCTCCATGCTAGTTTTTATATCTCCTCTCTTTCTTTTTCTTTTTTGAAACAAGGCTTTGCTCTGTTGCCCAGGCTAGGGTGCAGTGACATGATCATGGCTTACTGCAGTCTTGACCTCCCGGGATCAGGCAACCCTCTCACCTCAGCCTCCCAAGTAGCTGGGACTACAGATGCACACTGCCATGCCTAGCTAATTTTTTGTACTTTCAGTAAAGACTGGGTTTTGTCATGTTGCTCAGGCTAGTCTCGAACTCCTGTGCTCAAGTGATCTTCCCTCCTTTGTCTCCCAAAGTGCTGGGATTACAGGTGTGAGCCACTGCACTTGACCTGCCCCATTTTCCCTTGATCCATATCTCAGACAGGAATCTTTATTTCTCACTCTCCAGATCATTCTGTAGGCACCATACTAAATTGGCACCAATCCCAAATTTAGACTTTAATTCATCTTGGCCTTTAGGAGAGCAAAGTTACAGTGGTAAGTTATGCTCCTTCGCTTACCAAATCTCTTAGTTGGTATTTATTCCCCAGTGGTTACACACAACACAGTGGAGGCAGTAGAAATGGTGAAATCCTATCTTTTAAGAAAGAAAAAATAGGCAGTTTTCTCATGGGGAGGATTTTTGTTTTTCAAATGGGTGTTTGAACTGTAATGATTTCATGGCATCTGTGTAATGGTTTTGTTTCTTTGTTTTACAGAAACAAACAGTCGTTGCTGTCAAAAAAGAGGTAATTAGTCTTCCACTTCCAGTGAAGAATGGTTTTAAATCTTCTAACTAACAGATTATATGTACTTTGTTTTAGGCTCTGCACTTGGTAATGAAATGAAAACCATGTGCAATGTTCAAACAATTATTTCCAAATTCACAGACAGCGCAGAATGACAAAGCATCTTTTGTAAGCTCTGGCTGGGGCTGATGCTGACACTCAGGGCATGAAAAACCCCTCGAAGGCACAGAGCTGAGGGGTGGCCAGAGAGGATTGTGGACACCAATGATTCAGGCTGCAGAGACTCTACATCCCCAGACTGGCTCCTGCGCCTATCATTACAGGGCCAGAGCCTACCCAAGGTGGCCAACTGCCTATTTTGGCAAATCTTATATCTGGGGCCCAACACAGAGTCCTGGGAAGCATTGGCCATTGAGGTGGGATGTGTGGTTAGCTTTCTGAACGTGAAGGAAAGTGGCTGAGGAGGGGATAACTTGATTTGGCCAGTGCCGCAGAATCATGATGTTGAAGGATGTCACCTGTGGTGGGGACCACTCTCTGCTTCTGTCAGCCAGAGGCATGTGAGGGGAAAGCCAAGTGTCTATCCCCGTGTCTCAGTTTAATGCTCCTTAGAATTTTTTTTTTTTTCTGCTAATGCTTTTTCCCAGACCAATACGTAATGGATGAAGAAGGCCACTGATTTGAAGACTGGGGTCATCTATCTACTCTGGGGCTGGCTTTGGGCACAGAACAGGGTGCAGCTCTGGGTAAAACGGCTTCTGGGTTTGAAGGCCGTGTGTAGTGATGATGAAGGGCGGAGGAGCTGAACACCTTCTGATAACTGTGTCTCTTCCAGATCATGTATTACCAACAGGCCTTGATGAGGTCCACAGTGAAGTCTTCCGTGTCCCTGGGAGGGTATGTCCCTGACTTGTTGATCTTGCTAAAGTCAGAGTAATAGGTAGACAAGAGGAGAACTTCTGCTTTAAGGCAAACTTGACAAGTACTGGGCTGACAGACTGAAGATTCCGCCGAACAGCGAGGGACAAAACCAGTCTCTTGGGGGCTTAGTTCCTAGTTCTTCTCTCAGAACAAGCCTCCGGGTCTCATCTTGGGTTAGGCAGAATCAAGGGTAGGTGAGCCTCTAGCAAAGACTGTCATGTTTCTTGGAATCCACTAATGTGTGGATAGGGACGTTGGAAAGAGTTGGAAGTCCGTGGACTGAAGATCCTATGAGGATCCAAGATAGCCTGGGTTCCTGCCGAATTACCATTCAGCAGGTAATTACCATTAGGTAAATACCATTACCTGATGAATTACCCATTCCAATTCATCAGGGGTGTGCAGGTCATGTTTGCTGCTTCCGTGTACTACCAAATGTCCATTGTTAATCTTTGATTTAAAATCCCATTAGGCTAAATTGGACATTTATGTCTGATTTATTGAACCTTCTGGCTACCTTGACCTAACCCTCCATGGGACATCATCTGGGTGACAAAAAAGAGCTTAGTGCCTCCCACATGCAAGCAGTTATTCCTTTAGAATGTGGAATTTATTTTAGGACCACATTACTAACTCTGGGATTTTCCTGCATGCATGAAAATAAACTCGGCTTATTCCTGGGAGGCATGACGTGGCTAATTATGTATTCTGACTGTGTAAGACTCAAGTCATAGTACTGATTGGGACTGAAGATGCTGTGTGTTGTTATTTTAGTGCCTTCCTTCAATACGGGTAAGGGTTGGGCTCTCATAAAAATGTTTTACATCTTCGTAAGTCCCCAGTTTACAAAAATGCCACCTGCCTGAGAAAACATGCCCTGACCCCACCCACATTTCAGTGACTCTGTTGCTGCTGAGCCCTGATCCCAGCTGAGGAGGGCACCTGGGTATCCAGGGGCACTCGCTTTGGGTTATCATCATCATCATTATTCTATGATAAGCTCAAAACCATTTACTTCAATGTTCTACAAACCCAGTTTTATGAAACCAAACAGAAGAAAATTGAAGGAGACCCAAGGATACTTCTTAGACCCACTTTCCAATTTTTATTTGTCTTAGGATCTTATTACCGTAATTTTGACATCATTAGTGTTTTGACCTGTGAACCAGTTTTGTTTGTTTGTTTATTTTTTTGTTTTTGGTTTTGGTTTTGGTTTTTTCCCCTCCAGCGTCTCTACTGGTAAAGGTCGGGGCCGGGAGTGGTGGCTGATGTGTGTAATCCCAGCACTTTGGGAGGCCCAGGTGGGTGGATCACCTGAGGTCAGGAGTTTGAGACCAGCCTGGCCAACATGGTGAAACCCATCTCTGCGAAAAATACAAAAATTAGCCGGGCATGGTAATGTGTGCCTGTAGTCCCAGCTACTCTGGAGGCTGAGGCACAAGAATTGCTTGAACCTGGGAGGAGGAGGCTGCAGTGAGCTGAGATCGTGCCACCGCACTTCAGCCTGGGACAGAGGAAGACCCCGTCTCAAAAAAAAAAAAAAAGGTCTGATTGTCAACTAGAGAGTCTTGGGAGAGAAGACACCAGGGGGCTTGAGTTCTGCATATAATTGCAAACCCAGTGCTTGTCTCTAGGACACCACTGGTTTATCTCTAAGGGGTGGATCCTATTTTGCCCAAATCTCATGACTAAGGGCCGACTTCAGAGCAGGTGCATTTCACATTCACTGTGGACACAATTCCCCACCTATGGGGAGGAGGCACAGCAGGTTTTCAATACCCAGACAGCCGGAAATGCATTGACTCAGACAGTCTGACTCAACTCAAGGGAATTAGCTCTTTTTTAGAAAAGTTTTTAAAATTGGCACATAATTATACATATTTAGGTGGTACATAGTGATGTTTCAATATATACAATGTATAGTGATCAGATCAGGGTAATTAGCACATCCATCACCTCAAACATTTATCATTTGTTTGTGTTGGGAGCATTCAGTATCTTCTTTTCTGGCTATTTGAAAATATGTAAAGTAGAACAGACATCACTACAGACTGGGAAGGGTGAAGGAGGGGAGATAGGAGGGATTTGTTAAAGGATGAAAAATTAGGCCAGGAGTGGTGGCTCATGCCTGTAATCTCACCGAGCACTTTGGGAGGCTGAGGTGGACCTGGAGCCCAAGAGTGTGAGACCAGCCTGGGCAACTTGGCAAAATCCTGTCTCTACCAAAAATACAAAAAAATTAGCCAGACATGGTGGTACATGTCTGTGGTCCCAGCTACTCAGGAGGCTGAGGTGGGAGAATCACTTGAGCCTAGGAGGTGGAGGCTGCAGTGAGCCAAGACTGTGCCACTGCACTTCAGCTTGGCTGTCTCAAAAAAGAAGGAAAGAAAGAAATAGGTACAGAGGAATGACAAAGGGACTGGATGGAAGACAATGTTTCATTTCACAAGTGGAATCAGGACTGATTTGTCAAATACCTGCCAATCCCAAGGATTACTGGATTTGAGCAAGTTTCTCTTTCTTTCTTTTCTTTTTTTTTCCTTCCTTCCTTCTTTTCTTCCTTCCTTCCTTCCTTCCTTCCTTCCTTCCTTCCTTCCTTTCTTTCTTTCTTTCTTTCTTTCTTTCTTTCTTTCTTTCTTTCTTTCTTTCTTTCTTTCTCTCTCTCTCTCTTTCTCTCTCTCTCTCTCTCTCTTTCTTTCTCTTTCCTTCTCTTTCTTTTCTTTCTGTCTCCTTCCTTCCTTCATTTCTTTTCTTTCTTTCATGGAGTCTCACTATTTCCAGGCTGGAATGCAGTGGTGCAATCTCAGCTCACTGCA